CCATTTCCCTCATGTTAATTGTAAGTAGGTACTTTTTTTAAAACACTATTTAATTTCACCACCCATTGCCTGGTCTGATTACTGCCAGACCCGTACAATCAAGAAAACACTTATAAAGAATCTGCTTGACAACTGAAAATACGCTAAAAAAAAGCAACACATTATGGACCAGAAACCTGCAAATTCACAAAGAAAGCCATTGCAATTGGAAAAGCTGTCCTCCAATCAAATCCTAGGCTTGCAGCAAAGGTGTTTTCCCACATCATACACCATAAAGTATGAATAAACAAAAATAAAGACAAACACATCGATAAACTGATAAAACCATGTGGTTTTCAACCTCAGATGAGGTGAAGCAAAGTGAAGCATACACTTTGGAAGGACAAGGTGTGAAATGGAGAATTTAAGAATAAGATTTAAGATTTACTTTGATACATTTTGTTAGTATTTTTAAAGTGGGGCCTTTGATACAGACAAGACTCCTGTACAGAAGTCATTTTGAATTCAAAGCAGTTTCTTGGTCTTTTGGTTTCATGGCAACTCATTAAATTGCAGCATCCAGCACATTTAGTAATTTACTGGATCAAGTTAATTACCCTTGAAATACTGACTCTTCCTTTAATCTCTTTGTTCCGCTCTTTTATTCAGAGAACTTTCAGGAGTAAACATGGATAAATTCACACACACACACGCACGCACACATGGAGAGACAGCATGGACACTGACATGCTCACACGCCAGCAGAAAAACACCTTAACCTCAAACCACATGCTAGGTGCAGACAGGACCACACATACTGTCTCGCACACAAAATGTTTGGAATGCTGTAAACATTTATTTCAGTTGAAAAGAACATTTTTGTGTCTCTGTGTGTGTGTGTATCTGTATATAAAATGTGTTATTCAAAAGGGAAGGAAAGTATTTCTACACATGTGGGCCACCAGATAGAGATCAAACAGGGGTGTAATTCAAGCTTGTTGCGCACAAAATTGATGAAGTTTATGGAGGAAAAGGAGCAAAGTCATTGCTTGTCAATGAAATTTACCAAACCATCTGAGATTTGTGTCTTAGAGCTTTTTCAGAAATAAAAAAAAGAAAACACACTAATGTTTCTCAATTTTAGAAACCATAAAAATCCTTTATGTTTTGTAGACTACGGTCCAAAATGTGTTTTAATGACTATGCCATAATATCAACTTTTGGTTTGATGCTATTCTCACCTTTTCAATGATTTTACTTGAAATAAACACTAAAGATACAAGTATATAAGTTGCAAAAATACTAACACCATGTTTTAATGTTGTGTGTTCATTAAATACCAAGACAAAGTCTGTGCATGTTTGCGCTGTGCGGTTCAGGGACCTCCCTGACAGTCTGTCAAGTTCAATCTGGCCAAGGAAGGACACACAGATAGCTTGCTGGGGGTGAAACATGTGGTCAAACTCTGTCTCTCAGTTTTTTCCTTTTTTTTGTTATACCTCCCCATGCATGGTCCTTAAAGGAAAAAGAAATACCATATAATTATCTTTCTGTAATGCAATCTCCTTATACTGTTCCTTGCACAAGAATTTGTTCCCTTTGATGAGAGACCAACACAAGGAAGAGCATGGGTTAGGCTATAAAACCATTTCCCCATATTCATCCTACTGATGAATATTTAATTTGTAACTCCAAAATGGAAGCAGCATGACAGAACTGTAAATCTACCAAAATCTACCAAGTCATGGTCATCACAAAAGATGACCATGATTTCTCTGTAAGAGCTGCAGACACCTACAACTCAGGCAAGTGACTTGCTTCACTGGACAAATATTAGTGGTGGATCTTTTAGAAAGAGAAACTGACATATCTGAAAGAAAGCCATAAGTAGTGAAATATAACATGTGTTACAAGCACTCTTTGGGACACAGCACACCGTCTCCATCATCATTACTCATCACCACACTGTCAACAACTCTTGTAATGAAAACTTGCTGAACATGAGTTACAATAACATTGGGTTTCCCTTTGGGATTAATAAAGTATTTTTGAATTTAATTTGAGACATGTGGAAGAAGGTGCTTTGATCAGATGAAGCTGATTTTTAACGTTTTGACCTACATGCAAAAACAACTGAAGAGGCAGAAAACTAAACCCGAACATGACCCTGAATACCCACAGTAAAACATGGTGGCATCTGTTTCTGCTGAAGATTTTCTCCAGCAAAGACAGAGCAGCTAAGATCATAAATGAAGCTAAACACAAGGTAGCTCTGTTTTTGTTAAAAAAAAAAAAAAAAAAGAACTATTACAGGGTACATAAGACCTGAGACTGGGGTGGAGAGTCACTTTCCAGCAGAACAACCCAAAAACAAAAGGCCTTTAGCGAGTGTACAATGATTTAAGTCAAAGCATGTGTTAGAGTGGCAAGTCTTGAAAACTGCTGTTCACATGCACTCTCTACATCCAATCCAACTGAGATTAAACTACTTTGCAAATACAAATGTGCCAGCATTTTGGGTTTTAGGTGTGGTAAACCATTAGAAACATACCCAAAAAGACTTGCAACTTTAATTGCAGCACAGCTGGCTTCTACAAAGTGAAATACACATCTCTAGACTTATACTTATCAAAAAACAAAAACTGAAAACCATGTATAATTTTTCCCCCATTTCAATTATCGACTATTCTGTGTTTGTCTGTCATATCGCCCTAAAACATTGAAGTTAGTGTTTGTAGCATAATAAAATGTGAAATTAAAGGACACTGTATCTGTGATACTGTAGAACTGTAATTTAGCCAAAACGTGGCAGTTTTATTCTTGGAAAAAAACTTTGAAGTCCCATTCATTTGTAATAATAACTAAGCACTAAGTAAATCATATGTCTAATGTAATAAGTTTTACTGTAAAACATGTGCCCTATATTAAAGTAGAGAAGTGAGAATTTTAACCTCTAAACTGTAACAAAGTACTCATTTTTTGGACTTAGAGAGCAGACCAGTTTGCTTTCCATGGCAGAGGTTACTGTCTGACAGAGCTCTGACGTGGAGCAAGGCCTAAATACAATCCTTGGTATGCTTGTTTGTCTGGCTGCACATACACATTTGAGTGTCTAGGTGTTGCAATGCCCACCTCAGGAAGCTGGAGCAAGCCTTCAAACACACATACACACCCATGCATGCACACTGACTCATGCACACTTTTCCTCCGCACTCATCCTGGGTGGTCTGTGCTGCAAATGTTTATGATCCAAACCGAGCTAATCTAACTGGCTTCTTTCAGTGAATTGAGAATGATTTACAAGATGCAGCAGCAGGACAGAGGAGGCAGAGGAAATCATGGGGAGATCTCAAGGCTCCATTTCTCGTCACTCTGTGATTAGACCTGTTCCAGTGTCTGGATGTCTGATGGCACACCCTTTCCTTTGATCCTGACAAGCATTTCAGCAATTTTTTATGAGTTTTTCTTTTGCCTGTACTACACAGATCTGTGTTGTTGGTTATTACTGATGGACTGTTGTAACATAAATTTGGAGTTTATTCATTTTTCATGAATGAATACTACTGTCTTTCTAAATAAGGCTGACTCTTTTCACATCAAACACATGGAGTGGCATGTTATTGTCTTATTTATATTGATTTTATTAAAAAAAATGTATTTTGCTTTTCATTTGTTACCAATATATCTATGAATAATAAAGCACATTTTAGGTATATTTTGCATGTTTCAGTTCAGAACCACTTTTGCTTTTTCCACTGCCTTAAATGTTTCTGGTATAGATTCAATAAGTTGCTGCAAATTTCCTTCTGAAAAATTGGCCCAGAATGACATCATAGTATGATGCAGTTCCACCACATTAGAATCAGACAAGATTGGCCAAGATTGTGTCCACAACCAAGACATTTTACGTTATTTTTACAGGGACTCGCACTGTACAAGTATTGAGTATAGATAGATACATTTTAAGGAAAACAAAACTTTTAAGCTGTATTTTTACATATCCCTCAACTGATGTTTAGTCATTTTTAAATTAAAGTTGAATTTTAACTTAACTTTAACCTTTTTCATATACACTTGCATTTTTTTTATGTGAATCTCATATTCATTTCTGTAATGTTCATTGGCTGTAGAACAAATGCATAGTATCACTCCTATTATCCTGAAGACACTCTTATTCATTTTGAGCTAATTCTTATTGTTCAGCAAGCAATGCAGCACAGCATTAGCCTTTTCAGCAGCAGCACTTTTTTGTTGTCATCATAGCATCAATTTCATTGTATTTGGACAAATAATAAAGTCAGACTATTTTCCTCCATCTCTATGTCCCTTTTTGTTCACCTGATTAGGAGCAAGTAATAACGAGCAGTCAGGCTCATCTCCTTTCCAGAGCAAACAAAACCAAAGCTACATTCCCCAATCTCAATTTGCTGTTACTCAGCTCTATGCATTGGGAGCTCTCAATCATGAAGTCTGGAGAAATGGGTATGAGGCATCTGTCTGCTAATGTTCTCACAGCACTTTTCAAGTACATTTGAATGAATAGTTCTTGCATGAAAACCTGTTAATGTCCTCTCAAGTACAGTGTCAAAACATTTTGCGAGCTCACTGTTATTTGCTTGACCACTGATGGAATGTGTTTCTTTATTAACTCAAATTACGAGCTGAGCAACACATGACTATGATCATTTAAAAATCATGAATGACTTTTCTTTTAATTTAATTGTGCTATTTTATGTATTTTTACCTGTTGTACATAGTCAAGTTACAGTGTAATATTGTTGAATAAGCTGAAATAAAAAAAAATCTAACAATATCCTCATATTATTATTATTATTATTATTATTATTATTATTATTATTATTATTATTATTATTATTATTATTATTATTATTATTATATTATTATTATTATTATATCTAAAATATGTAGACGTCTCTATAGAAACTGACATTAATTTTTTTGTAGGAACCACATTACAGCGGGAGTAGGTTTCCTGTCGGACAAATTTCACTGAACGCTCCCATATGTCATCATTCAATGCTATCCGTTAGCATGTTTCACAGGCTTCTTCAAAAATAATTAAGGACGTTGTTCATTTTTTCTCACTGTATTACAGTTAATCTATTGCTTAGCTACGCAGAGACGAGTGTTGTTGCATTTACACTGTTTATCGAGCAATGGTGTTTTGCGCATCGATGTTTTGTAAGTTAGCTAAATGCTAACTGCTACGGTGATATCTCGAAACTTACATGCGTCTGTCACCGCTGTCATACAGAGACAGGAGATCATCTCGGATCGAGAACACTGGCACAGGTAGGCATCGTTTACTTAATTGATTTTAGATACTTTATTTTCTTCCGAGTGCCTCTTTGATGATATATTCGTTCACTCATCAGTGGAAGACCACTTGCTGCCTGTTGAAATCATAATTGCCTCTGTGTGCATGCTGTGCCAATGCTTAAATATTTGACTGAAAGTGGCGGATTTGCATCGTGTTCGTTCTTGGCACGTATTAGAGTCCCATCAAATGAGTTTAATCGATCGGTTTTTGCAAGTTGCGACAAATGTTGAAGTAGTTTGTCCATGCATGCAGTATTGCAGTATTGTATTTCCAGCTGTTGACACAAATCTATTTTTGGACCTAATGCCAATAAATCGTAAATATTTTACTATTTTTCATTACGTTGCATAGTTTAGACATTTATTCCATTAATTTATACATCAACTCAGTAGATGACAGATATTTATGTTCTACTCATCCAAACATTGTATATAATATATGTGAAAGGGAAAGGGTCAGCTTCAGTGGAAGTATTCAGCCTCAATTAACCATATAAAACTGACCTATATGATCATGTTTCCTTGTTTTGTGTGCGCTGAACAGAATATCTCCACATCTTTATCAAAATACAGTATTATAAGCCTGGAGGGTGCCAGACTTTACTTGTCCCCTCACCAGTTTAAGTGTCATTTGTTTTTGTTTTTTTTGTTGTTTTTATGTAAAACAAAAACAAACAAACAAAAAAAAGCACAAGAAATAACCCCGACAGCATCAGATTGTGGCTAACCTCACCATGAAGGTTGTTCTTTGAACTTTTTCAAACTAAACTTGCATATTAATTTTAAATCTTTTAATTTGTGTATGCTGAAACCATTAAATTGCTGCTTTCAGTTTTGCAGCATCGATATTCTCTTAGTTCAATGATGCCTTAGGTCATATCTGTAATGCAGTTTGCATTATATCACACTTTTAGATCCACTAACTGATGTCTTACTTTGAATTTAACAGAAGCGCAAACAATTGATTAGTTGTTTTTAAGATTCTGTAGTGGGTTTAAGTATTGTCGGCAATACTTAAATCAAAATACGTTCCAGTAATGTAATTACCGAGTAATAATTTACATTTTCTGTCAACTTAACATCTTTTAATACAAAAATACGACCCAACCACCAGGCTTTGCAAGTGTTCTGGGGTAAACCCTGCATGGTAACGTTTAAAATTAATGTGGACAGATACGGGTAAAAAATGATTAATACATATAGTTGGCAATGAACAGATGAATAGATGAAGGCAGTCCACCAATAGCCCACCATGTTTTTGTGTTAAAAATGTTAAAAGTTACAAAAATTCAAAGGGCCATGAGTCGGCATAATAATTTGGAAATAACATGTGAGGTAGGTGCAGGAATGGTGCAAGTGGTGTGCAGCCTCTTGCGTTCAATTCATTGCTTTAACGAATACATCCAGCTTAGACTGTCTTTACTGTTGCTGGTATATAAAAAAAAAACTATTAAGAAAAACAAAATGAACACCAGGAACCAGGCAAGTAAATCCTGGCAAATAATTCACTGGTTGAAACTTTGATTTGTTTGTTTTATTGTTATTACAATAGTCCCACAAATATTGTGCTAAAATTGTAAGTCCATATCAATCGCCCACCTGGGGTGGGCGATTGTTTAGATGGCAAACAAAGCATGGAGCGAGCCACATGCTTTGTTTGCCATTAAAAAAAACAAAAACTACCTTCATGTTGGGATTTTTTCAAAGTCATAAGTTATGTTGACTATATATGGTCTTATTGCTCAACACTTATTTATGTCTTTTACTCTAAAAATGTCCAAGATGTAATTTTTTTTTGTTTCTTCTAGCCTTTTCTTGCAGACACCATGGAGCTCCAGGCAGTGTTGATGGCGGCTGGAGGTGGATCACGTATGACAGATCTGACATACAACACTCCCAAACCCATGCTGCCTGTAGGCAACAAACCACTGATGTGGTATCCCCTGAACCTGCTTGAGAGAGTGGGCTTTGAAGGTGAGAACTAGGGTCATACATATGGTCCCCACCCATTAACCTACTTTCACTGTATGTATTTGAGATTCTAAAAAATGTTCAACAACATTCATCTTGATTTAAAATGTCTACGATGACATTGTAAGCACAAATAATCTGGCGTCCAATTTAAGCTGCATAAAATACGGTTCCAGCAAGCTGTGTCTAATCCAACACACTCTATCAAACCTGGTGTTAGGAGCTTCGTGTGAGCTGTGTGCCCCGCTGTCAGATTAAATGTCTTTGTAGCAGGGGCTGGGGTTGTTACAGGGAGCTCATTCTTGGTTTCCATATAAAATGTAAAGAAACAAAATGCTGCAAGTTGGTTTATTTGGCCCACATGAGAAGTCTGGAGCATAGAGTGGAAAAACCTACCTTGAAGAAAAAAACTTTACCTCTCACTTACACATAAGGAATTTAATGTGTGTGTGCGCATGCATGCGTGTGTGTGTGTGTGTGTGTGTGTGTGTGTGTGTGTGTGTGTGTGTGTGTGTGTGTGTGTGTGTGTGTGTGTGTGTGTGTGCGGCGGTCTAGCTTTACTGTCGCTGTGAAATCTATGATTTAAATCCTAAGTAAAAATAACAAACAAAACAAAAGAACAATAAGATCAATGTTTCTGAAACACACATATAAAAGGATAAAACACAACACAACTTTTTAATACACTAATCTAGATGTCCTTTGATTCAATGTTTTCGGTTTTCTCCTTAGAAATCTTAACTGTAACCAGAAGGGATCAGGTTTGAGTTGTCTTGGTTTTGTTTCTCTAAAATAATTAGTTTAGTGAGATCAAGCAAATTGCCCCCATTCATTGTCCCCGATAAGCATTCAGAAATCATATTTTGTTCTCAGTTATAAAAAAAAATGTCATTGTTTAGCTTAAAGTCTGGCTCATTCCTCATTTTGTTGTGATTCAATATTTACAGTGATATGTTCGATAGAGAATGATCAGTGAGGTTTGAGAAGGACATGCACCATATTTGTCCAGATTAAGCTTTATATGTACCAGTATGCTTAAGCTGGCAAATGAAATTTCCTCTGGTTGAAAAGTAGCTAGTATTAAACAAGAGAAAATTTTGCTTAGATGATTCAGTTTCTAGATTATTTATTTACTAGAAAAATTAAAGTGTTGCAAATAAAAATTTTAAACAAAACCGATAAGAATTCAGGATTCTGCAGACGTCTACTATCTGAGTGCAGTGTAATTTTTATGCCTCTTAAAATGTTGGACTTATTACCCGTGAGTATACAGCATGTGCAGCTTTATTGGCACCCCAGTAAAGATGTGCAAATCTTATTTTAGTTTTATATTTCAAAATGAACTAATCCATCTTTTACTCTGATTACATCTATTCAGGAGAAAATCCTACATTGTTATATTTACAAAAAGTCAAACAACTTATTTCAGTCAGTATGTTTTTAAAATGCTTTGACATTTGGACGTTTACTACCAATTCAGCAACATCCAAATATTTTGTTAGTTTTAACAAAAAAAAGTGAAGGAAAATTTCTATAAAGTGTAATAATCATTCCCACCTAAAATTACTATAATCAGATCTAGACATAATGTATCAGGTTGACACCTTGAAAACATTATTCAGTTATTACTCAGACATTAAGCAAGAAGAATGCTGAAGTTTACGAGTGTTTAAAGAGGTCTCAATAGAATTAAAAATCAGCAATTTATAATCTGCAGAAAGTAGTCTAAGAGTGGATGAAGTTGAAAACTACTACACAAGTGCCGAAGCAAATTTACCCTAAGAGTAGTCCATGAGTTGCTAAAAATAGTCTCTAAAAATGATAAAATATTATCACAGATGGGACCTATAATAAGCTGTGGGTGCTGTTAAAGTAAAAGCTCTGAGAAAAAAAAAAAAATACACATTTGCTTTTCCTGGGAGTTATGCAAGGAGGAAACCTTTCTTTTCTAAGAAACACACAAAGGTCAGTTAAACAGAGACAGTGGAGACATGGTTTGACATGTTTAATGATGCTATTTTGAGAGATGAGGCTAAAATTTAATCACTGGGGGTTTCATGCATGTAAGAGTACAGTTTTCACACAGTTGTTTTTTTGTGCATACACACGGTTTAAACACCGTTTAAACCGTGTTTCTTCTGCTCACTAGAACAGAAGAAATGTTTGCTATTTCTTCTGCATTTCCAGCATTCCAGGAAATTGATCAAAAACCACCTGTGAAACAGGGAGGTGGAAGTGTGATAATTTATCACAGGTCTTTGTAGCACAAGACCTGGACAGCTCACCATCAGAGAATGCACCATGTATCCTAGTGGATACATAGTGTGCAGAAGGTGCTTGAGAAAAATGGACATAAACACACAAAGCTAAGAGAACTTTATTCTGCAACATAACAATGACCATATAAGTAAATTGCTGTAGATTCTAGAAACTCCTGGAATAACTCAAAACCCAAATTTTGATCTGATTGAGGTCCAACAGAGTGGCCCACAAGCTGAAAATCCCACAGCAGAAAGTGATGGGGCCGTGTTTATCCCAGGAGAATAGCACTCTTAGGATGTCCGAACCTCTTCCTTAACTTCAAATTAGATTTTTGCTACATTTAAAAAAAAAAAAAAATTTAAGTACAAATACACATTATTTCTTGTGACAAGAAAAATATTAAACATCAATCTGTGATCATTTAGTAAGGTGTTCTAACTATAATTATGCCAAACTCAAGTTTTTAACACGCACAGTGAATAGGAGGTGAACTACAAAGTAACAAATATCTCTGAAGCTCACTGTGATACATTTTTAATTATGAAAATGATAATGAAGAAACTAAAAACATGAATTTGAATGACACATCTGCTGGTTAATTAGCTTGGTTATTTCAAATATTTAAAGTGTTTTGGTTTTTAAAGTTTTACAAAAAGAATAATTGATATTTCAGCAGATGTGATAGAAGAGATATGAAGAAATAAATATTCAGTTTCTCAATTCTCCTTGTTAAAAATAATGATTTTGTAGATGCTGCATGTTGTGAAACCAAATATTTATGAGTTTGTCTGAGCTATGTGAGCATTGTGTAGTCAGGTGTGTTTTTCCCGTCTGGACTTAAAGGCCAGATTTCTGCCGTTTTATGCCGTTGCAGGTTCACAAGCCCAGCCTGATTAAGGAAAACGTTCTACTTTCCAGACTTGACAATAATCTGGACTATTCATTACCTGTAGTTTGGTATTCCTCTAAAGGAAAGTTGCTTTCTATCAGTAATCACTCTGTGTGGCCAGCAGTTTACTATGTGCTGCCTCCTAGCCAGAGCGTTGCAATTAGATTTTACTGGGCTGACACAGCTAGTCTGAGCAAATGCCCAGTAGAAACGGCTTAGAGGCGATGACTCTTATTAGAACAGGCAGACTCTGCAATCTTTGGATTTATTAAGTAGAGTAGCTTGGTTTCTAGCCAATGTTGAAACATTGATTTGAAGTTTTGTTTTACTGCTACAGTAATATTTATTTTCTTGGACTTGTTCCTCTATATTTATCTAACAGGGGCTTGTTTTCTCTGGGTTGTGTTTTTAGAGGTTATAGTGATCACCACTAAAGAAGTCCAGAAGATGATGAGTACAGACTCTAAAATGAAGCGGGACATTAAGATGAAGATGGAGGTTGTTTGTGTCCCAGAAGATGGAGACATGGGCACTGCTGATGCTCTCAGACACATTCAGCAGAAGATCAAGGTTTGTTCACTTTTTTTTAAACATGCAAACAGAACAATTTGTTGTATTACAGTGCTCCTTACACAATAATTATGTCATTTCCAAATGATAGTTAAAGATATCACCATTTTTGTATCATCCCTATATAAACTTTCAACCAAATGAAAACAGATGGATTGATATTTGAGTTTCTCATTTTGAATTTGTAAAAAAGCAACCTGCTTAGTTGTCATCTGCTTAGAGGAAAATAACAAAGAGTGAATGGTAATTTAAGAGGGTGTGTGTTCTGCAGAGTCACCACCAATCTTGTTTGTACCCTTCTCCATTTGGCTGCCAGGGCTGCTGAAGTGCTCCATTTTTCCTTTATTTTCAAACACACACAAACATTCACTCACATAAACCCCATGCTTGATTGCTATCCATGACCTCCCAACTTCAATTTCCAGTCCATGCCCTGTATCCTGCCTGTTGATCCCACCATGCCTCCCCTCATCCAGTTCACTTTAAGCATATGAGCTCATGGTTACAACTCCAGTTCCCTTTGCTGCCAGTTTACCCGATGCACCATTCAGTCTCATGCAGGGGATGTGCACATCTGTGCAACATTTGTGTTTGAGTATGTTGGGGTGATTATGCTACGGTTCTGACCTGCCTCATATTTGTTTGACTGTTCTGTGCATTTGAATTGTGGGTTCCTTACAGAATGAGTTGGATTTTGTTTTTGAGTTTTATGTAATTAGAAATGCACATTTTTTAGGTTGCGATACAGAACGTTAACAGAGCTGATTAAAACTGTTTAGCAGCCGTCCGCATATTTTCATTTACGTTTATCAAAGACAAAGACACACAGGACGAACAACCAGGCATGTAGAGGCTCAGTCCTGATGGAAATTTAAAGAGGCCAATTCGCAGAGTGAATGTGGGAAAAACACACTACATGCAGAGAGCCAATGCATGCACAAGCAGGACATGCTTACAGCACCAGTCTCCTCATTATTCTCAGCTGTCATTTCAAATGTAAAGGTTGCATACTACTTTCTTTTTTCTATTATAAATATGCTTATTACTGCCTTTTTTATTAGTTTAAACACCTATGCTTCGGTATTTTAGCTTCCCACACTGCATTTTCTTTAGAATAATTTAGACATGCTCCAAAAAATAATTTGAATCCAAAAAGCATGAAGTTTATGCACAATAGCTGTTTTATTTTTGATTCTTAGATACCAGTAATACGCAGATTTTTTTTTATCTTATTATTTTTAATAGATTCTATATTAATAAAATGTTACACTTAAATTTCATTTTGTAGAGTGTTACACACATTTTCCAAATCTGACATGTCTGTACAGATTCTTGTTACTGCTAAAGATTTCCTAGATCGAAACTTTGTATATCCTCATATAAACACACTTAAGGAAACTAGCCACTGCTTGCTCCTATTGAGAGTCGCTCACACTTTAATCCTCCAAGCAGTTCACCAGATTAGGGGCATTGAGTTACACACACTCACACTCTGCGAGGTGATGAGTGAAGAAGTGTACCCATGGCCTGCCAAATCCAAGCAGACAGATCTCCCCATCTGTCAAAGAGATGCATCAGTGCAGTATAAAAAGCCCGACACACCTACTTGTGTCTTTTGGCAAACACCGTCCCATGAGGGGATTTGGTTGAATCTAAAAACAAAATACTTACAGGAATCAGTGTACACTTAAGAGCAAGCACAGTGGGTCATTCCTCTTGATTAATGAAAGAGAGATTACAGGCAGCATATTTTGATTTGTTCACTCATCAAACACTGAAGTCGCACAAAGGTGGACGGATATGCTGATTAATGCTTGGATCTTTCACAAAAGGCCAAACAAGTGAAAGGAGTACTTAATATGCTCTTTTTTGCTTTGTATGCTTAAACCCTCCTTGACATTTTATTTTATTTTTTTTACGATCATTCAGGTTTAATTATGTTGGAAAATCGGGGCGCATGAGCCAAAAGAACCAAATGTACATTGCGAGCTTTGTTTCAAAGTTCCTCCTTTGGTGTACAAATGTTAGTCAGGTTTTAAGACTCAAGAGAAAAGGTGAAGAAAGACCAGCACAAGAGATGGAGCAGCGAGATACTGCAAACATACAAGAGTGAATGTCTGTTTTTATTGTATAGCTCACACCACACCCTCTCGCTTTTGTTTTCTCTTTAAGAATTGTGTGTTTAAGCCACATAGCTATATTTGAAATTTAAATGGACATCTTTGATGCGTTGAAAGAAAAATTAAGTCTGTGTCAAGACTTTGCTCCGCGTTTATACAAATACGGTAAGCCACACAGCACAAGACGAAATGGATCTACTTGTGAGGATGGCTGGTTGTCATGATGACACTAGCAAACAGTTCATTTGGAAGGGAAGTGATGTCGCAGATAGATCTGTGTTTTGTTTTAACATGTTAGAATGACAAACCTCTATTTATTCTGGGTGATTTGTTGATATGAAATTAATCAGCATGTAATAGTGAATACCAATAACTGAATTTTAAAGACATTTTTAAAACTTTTAACAAAAAAAAAAAGAAGATGCTTCTTGTACATTTATATAAAACAGAACTACTTTTGCTTCAGTTACAGCCGCAGTTCTTTTGTGGTTTGGATGTACCAGCTTTGCAGAGGCAGTGACAGAAATTTTTGGCAATTATTCTTTTCAAAATAGCTCAAGTTAAATCGGATCGGAATCTAATCAGTATTAAATTCTTGCCAAAAATCCTCTTTCAGATTTAGGTCTTGGCCTTTCTAATACAGGGATGTGCTTATATGTAACCAATTTCATTCTGACTCCAGCTGTATATTTAGGGGAGTTTTCCTATTGTAAAATAAAAATCAGTCCCTTTTCCAAGCCTTTTGCCTCAAAGATGTTTTCTTGCATGACTGCTCTTTCTTCAGTTCCATCTATCTTCACTAGCTTACCTCTTTTTTTTTAAAGCAGAGTATAGCATTTCCAGGAGTTAATTAGGCTAAAAAGTGACATTTTGAACTCATTTGACCACAGCCACATCTTTGTCAGATCTGCTGTGTCTCCTATGCCTGTGGAAAACTAAGATCAGGACATTTCATCATCATCTGTTAAATATTAAAAGATGGTCAACAGATTCTTTCACCTGTGTTGTGGATCTTTGCACCTTCAGTTACCATGGTTTTCTTGGCTACTTCTCTGATTAAAGCTCTTCTTGCCAGGCCTGTCAGTTCAGGTGCATGGCTGAACTGACAGCTTCGACAGTAGTCGGCATATAGTTGTGCTACTGTTTCCATTTTCAGATTATGCATTTAACAATATTTGGGAATAATCTGAGCCAAACCCTGACTTAAACGTCCTGTAATCCGTGCACTTCATGATGTTTGTTGTCTGTTTTCCAACATTAAATTACACACAGCTAGGCTCAATTTAACACATAATGGACTTCTGAATACAGTTTGTTTCACAAAATTCTATTTCAGATGTAACGTAATTGGAGAAGCTAAATATTATCTGCAAGTCATACTGCCCATAAAAATACATTTCAATCCATCTGTTTCCATCCACTTTACAATTATGCACAAATTTGTGCTGTTCTGTGACAAAGTAATCAAAGTTTATTGAGGTTTATGGTTGATTGAAAGTTGAATATAGTATTATATTTTTATAGTTTTGCTAGGCACTGTCTGCAAGTTACTTGAAGCCTTTGCAACATGCAAGCAAAGATCTGGCTGGATCCAGCTGGCAGCCTTAATTCATTTTATATTAGCTTGTTATTACCTTCAAGTTTCTTTAAACAAAACACAATGTATCATTTGAGTCCAATTACTCAAAGTACATGATAACATAAAGCAAACTATATATATAGATATAGTCATACTGGAGACATATTTATATTTGGCACAGCGAAAATGTTTTGAACATTATGACTTGAAAAAAGTTTTCTTCGCGTGGTCAAGATTGTGTACATAGCTCTGGGTTGAAGTCACCTAGCACTTGGATAAGTATGCGTCTGTGTGTGATTTTGTAAGCATCAGTGTGTGTGGTCCTGACCTGTCTACTGATCCTGGCTGTGGAAAGGCCAAAGTGCCTTTGCCTCTCCAGCTGACTCCACTCTGCTGTCGCCTCTAGAGTGTGTGTCTGTGCATGTGCGCGTGTGCGTGTGTGGCCACTGTGTAAGCACATGCTCTTGTGTTTTGTTTCTGAACATGTGTGCAAGCTTGTCAGTGTGTGATAGAGAGACAGAGCAGAGTTGAAAGATCTGAGTCTGTAGATCTTCCGCAGACACCTCCTGCTTGAGCCGGGCCTCTTCCTGTCGCCGGGTCCGGATCAAGGTTATGAATGAAGTTAATCTCGGTTAACTTGATGACCCTTAATCCTGCTGATACTGCTCTAACTTAGATACACTTAAAGAACTGCTCGAAACTCTAAATCATTCAGCTGAAATCAGCAACTCAGTCCTGTCTGGAGTTCTGGAACAGGCTTGAATGAGAGTCGACATTTATGAAAATCTGAAGAGAAAAAGCATCATACTGAATACAGCAAAATGTAATTTTAACGAATGTCAAAGTGGGAACCACAAATATATTATTTCAGAACAAACAAAGAAGTCATACATTTTTATTATTTTTTGATAAACTAAGCATAAATAACTGCTAAAACAATAATTGTGAACTATAAATTCGCTAACTACTGAATATTTAAAAACTCATCAGTTATTTCAGAGCCTCATTCTTATGAAAAGGTTTAAGATTAACTCTCATTGTGGTTTGTTAACTGTTCATTAGAAATGAAGCTCTCCTTAATTTTCTGTTTTGTCAGGAGGCAAGTATTAACCAGTAATAAATCATTTACTTATGAAGAAGATTTGGGGGGGAAAAATGTCTTTACTTGGTTTTTTATTGGTTAATCAGTGATTTGTTCAGGATTAAGTCATCATTGTTGGAGTAACTGTGGATCACTACAATGAATAATCAACTGATTATCCACTTATAGGTTCGATTCCAGCTTCTTTCTCCTGGACTCATCTAAATATCAGTTCATGAATGTGTGAATATGGCTCTAATGCAAAGCACTTTGAGTCACTAGTATGATTAGAAAATGCAATAAATTTTGTCCATTTATTATTAAACAATGTTTACGTTCAGCTAGTAAGATAATGGTTTGTGATTACTTTACTAGATTAGTCCAAGCTAGTTAATGTTAACTACCAGCTTTATCATTGGTTCATCATTAGTTATTGTTTAGTAGCCATTAGTTCAGGATTTATTTATTATCAGTTAATATTAACTAGCAGTTAAATCATCATTTATTTGCACAGTGAATGAGCTTTCCAGACAAAACAAGTGTTTAAAATTGTATCGTTTGTTGGCGGACTGCGGTGGTTTTAATTATATATGAAGCAGTCTGCAAAAAAAAATATGTATTTTATAAAATCTTTGAAATTTCTGGATTTTTTTCTAGTTCAACATGCACTTTTGTGCACTTTTTTCTCTCAATCTGTTTCTGTGGTAAACAGAGGAATCATGTCTGTCTTTGAGGCTTGTGGTGCTAATGGTGGGATTAGTTCACATGCCGACAGCCTTCATCATTGGAGACACAAATGGATAACACAGATGCACAAACACAGGCATGCCCACATGCAAACTTCTTTCTTATGGTGGAAGATTAGAATGTTTATTGGAATTCACAAGCTTTGCGTTTATTTAGATTTTAAAACATTTGTTTCTTTGAATAACGTTGTTTGACCTATTTTGTGTGGTTCTTGAGCATATCAGAAATCCTGGCCCGAGGTGAGTATGTAGTGAATGCAAAGTCTGTTAGGAGAAAACTTTGTCATTTTGAGGTTTGTATAAACGCATCTGCACATGTTTTAAAATCTTAAATATTAAATGAAATTTAAGTAAAAGAAAAATTGTGCAAGACAGCTTAGCAGAATTAAACCTTCTCATCATAGCACACAGTTCTGGTAATCTAATGTAATTTTCAATCAGTTTGCACAAAATAGTTTGCGTGAAACATGCCTGACATTTAATGACTACAATGACATAAACTTTATCCCAAGCTCTTACACCTCACTCAAATAATGTTCTTTCAAGAAGTAACCATTCAGGTAAAGTGTGTCTTAATTGACTTTAAAGTGGTATTAGATTTACAACAGCATGTATCGTGAAGGCTCTTATTGTGAAGGTGCAAAGAAAGTTGCATCTCACTTCAGCTGCTTTAACGACGGCATAAAATAGACAAATTGTTTCGGACAAAAAAGCCAGACCTGCTGACTGCAAACAAACCATCGACTGCATTCTCTGTAATTAAAGAAATATGAAAAACTAGCCACAACTTCAGACAAATCGGAACATTCTCAAGATTCTTCCTGTATGAAGTAAGAACGATAAAATTTTCAAATAGCTGTTCTTAGACAATTACACAATCAGCTCCATGGAAAGCTTTGCGTTTTTTTTGTAGGAATTTTTCCACTTTATTTTCAGTGTCTGAGATGCTTCATCTGAAAAAAAGTATAAATTGCAAAATAAGGATTTAATAGTCATTTAGATTTTTAACAATGGCATTTACATATTTATTGACATTAAATTTGTCCATGGTAATTATGAAAACTAGTAAAACATAAATGTGCAAAACCACTGGGTAGCATTCGACAGAATTTGCACTATTTGAGAAAATCTCTTGTTCAAGCAGACACAACCCACTTTTCCTCTGCTACCATTATTAAATCAAGCACACTTAGTATTGCAACTATTTTTTTACAAATCTTGTTGAAAAATTCAAGAGATATTTTCTGTCTACAGTAATAAACCGCGTCCAAAGATAGATGCAGAGTGTTGAAGACATTTTTTTCTCATTTGACAAAGATGCCATTTTTGTCTCCAACATTTTTCTACAGACTGACATCCTGGTGGTGAGTTGTGACCTTATAACCGACGTGGCTCTTCATGAGGTGGTTGACCTTTTCAGAGCCCACAATGCAACGCTAGCCATGCTCATGAGCAAAGCCCATGAGTTCACAGAGACTGTGCCGGGCCAGAAAGGGAAAAAAAGGACAGGTAATGGGATTGTAACATACCGTAACTATCTCACAGTGAAACATTTATTCTTTTAAAATAAAAAAACTATATTTATTAGTTTCTTTTTAGTCACAGTTTTACATCTATCTACATTTTCTGAAAAGAAAAAAAAAAAAGCTTTTTCTGGCATTTCGATAAATTGATACCTAAAGTTGAAGCTGAGTTAATGTTAGACAGTGAGAGGAAAAAACAGTTATGTGTTTTTCTTTAAGCAGCATGTATAAACATTGGGGTGAAATGGTTTAATTTATGTCCAACTGGAATTGATGAAAGTGGTCAGTTCTGTGACACATGATGAATTCATATTAATGTGTATTGTCATGTGTATTTTTGCCAGCTGAACAGAGGGACTTTGTCGGTGTGGATCAGTCAGGGAAGAGACTGCTCTTTATGGCCAATGAAGCAGATCTGGAAGATGGACTCTCAATCAGGAAGTCAATTATAAGGAAGTAAGTTTTTCTTTACTATTACTAAGCCTTTTTAAATTAAATTAATGTTCAGCTCAAACATATCAAATGCCACTTTACACTTCTTTGGGAAGTTTGGCTATTTAAATAATTAAAAGTACCAGCTAAACATTGGCTTTAAAGTCATTTAATGTGAAAAGCTGAACCTCCTGGACATTTCTATTTTAGGTTTTTAATGCCTAGGCTGCCATTTGGCTGGTGTCCATGTAAAAATAGTAGAGAACAAAGTATGCTTTTTCATAAATCTGATATTATTTCTACATGAATCAATCACCAACATCACTTCATTTCAATACATGAAAGGTTGACCAAACTCTGCCTTTTTTTAAATCAAAAAAAGCCAATCTGGGAGCCTCAAGAGCGCTTTCAGAACCAGAGGCAGGCCTGAGGCTCAAGTCAACTTTGTGATGACTTGCCCCCCTCTGCTAGCCTGGAGGAATCCCAGAAAACACTTGATTTCGCAAAGTTCAGATTTACAGATCCTTCAGTTCTATCCATGTGAAGTGAAGTCTTCATAATTTGAAAGTTACATTAACAAGAGTCTTATTTTGTTGCTTCTATAATAATTTCTCCTGGGAGTACTTGAATTGTGAACCAGACATTAGATATATGCCCTCTTCCCTGACTCTACTTTATATCTCTACTGTAATAACTGCAAAAGCATGGCAAGCACTTCTACAACTTAGAGGCAAAGCTACATAAGGATAAAAACTAAATTGAAAAATGGATGTTTCTTATTCAAATCTCACATATCTGATTTTAAATTGTCCAGGATGAGCTTAGCAGTCACAAAAATGCAATATGAATAACTTTATTGAACACTTTACCCAGATGTTGCAGTTTGTAAACCATTTCTAAACCCTTGTTAAACATCCAGTGTTGTATTTCCATCTGTTTCCCCACTTAAATCTACTGCATCTGTCACCTGCTATACATAGACACCAAGGTTATTGGAAATTTAAGTGTACAGTATACCAAACAGAGGGATCAGATTTTTCCAGCCTCTGTTTTTATTTTACACTTAGTCCTGGATAGCTTCTGTACATTTAAGTACATTCCATTCAAGATGTCTCCTCATTTAAGCTGTGGACATTTTTGTCTCAATTTCAAGGCTCAATTCTTCTTGTGGAGGTTTTTTTGTTTGTCTTTTTTTTTTTTTGGTACAGGAAGAATATACTAGGTGTTTTTTTTTTTGTTTCTCAGTCCTAAAATGCATGTATGTGTGAGAGCGGGTGTTTTGGGAGCTCGTAAATATTTCATGGAGCCAAAGCCACTGTAAATTCTAGCCAACAAAAGAGGGGCCAGAGCAGCTGCTTGCATGCTTCCCTCACAGGGAACTTTTTGGGCCACACTTGCATATAAACACACACACACATGCACTCTGTCTTTTTTCACAAACTAGAAATGCTTACACGAGCGCGCACAGGAATACGTAACACAACGTCAAGGTGGACTCTGATGGAGACAAACCAGCCGCATCTTGTCACAGTGTTATGGAAACACAGTGATCTCATAGATAAACATTTATGTGTTGCAGTTAAAGGCCTAAAACCTTTCAGTCACCTCTGTTCAGGTATATGCTCACATGTCAGACAGCAACAAAAGACAGATAAGAAAAATGCCTGGTGCAGCAAAGGAAGAAATTCCTGGAGTTCTGGGTTTCTGTTACTCAGCAGTAGGCAGTTTTACAAGATCTCACTATTTTCAGCGGTTGCAAGGGCAGAAGCTAGAACTCGTTTGCACACATCACCTGAGTAATGTGAAGAGTGATTGTGATTGTGAAGAGTTTCTTTCACAGCATCTTCATTTTGCGTTTTAGTAAAAATGACCTCCCCATCCTTTCCATGTTCTGTACATCCCTCCTCACAAACAGCCATCTGTTTTTTCATCCCTCCATCTTTGCTCAGCCTCAACCTCAGTGCAATATTTTCCCCCTTCTCTCTTCTATGGTTTCCACATGGCTGTGGTGTCTTCAGTTTAAACGGCCCTGCACATGTGAGTTTGTTTGACCTGGAAATCGCTTAAATGGTGTGAAAGGACTCCAGCCGAGCTTCACCCGGTACATTACAGCTCCACCTGTCAGAACATCTTGAAGGCAGATCTGGAGCAAGGATCAGCATTGCAGTAAAATACAGATTTCAATTAAACTGAATCAGATGGCAAGAGTTATTAAGTCAGAACTGCTGCTCTGTATTTTGACCTACAAATAGTTCAAAGTTGTTGTTTTTTTGTTTTTATTTCAAATATTTGAATATTTTTTTGTTATCTTGTAGGACAGCCACAGACTCACTGGAGCAATCTCACTCTTTGCTGTAGCAAATTGAAGAGAAGTTGTATTAGTTTTCCAAAGCTTAGCAGCTTCCATTATAAAACAAATATACATTTTATAATGGATATACATGCATATGTGCTTCAGATTAGTGCTGTGCAGTTGAATCAGTTGAATTAGTTTCAGTTTGGGGTCAAATGTAACAAAAAAAAGTGTAAATCCAAAAACAAACAGTTACAAAAAATATTTTGTTGAACTGTATTATACTCACCTATGTTTACCATTAGATGTAATAATGCAGTGTTTTACAAATTTGAGATAATAGAAATTTGAGCATCGACCAAATTGTTAGGATTTCTTTTTTAGACTGCTGTTTTTTTTTTTTTATGTTGTGAGGTAAGTTGTAAAATATACTTTTTACAAGGTTTAAGATGATTAAGGGTTTCATTAGGTTTTTTTATAGCCTGTTATTTTTCCATTTTATGGATGTGATGAACTGAAGTTATCATACCTTCCCATAAAAAGAGATTAGTACAATTAGCATAAACAGTGGTTCATTAGATTGCACGGCTTCCTCTTTATGGCCATAGTAGGTCAAAAAGAAGAGCGTCAGAGAGAGAGAGTAGGAAAAAAAATCTCTTACTTAAAAATTGCAAGAGGTAAACATAAGATCTTGAACTGCACTCAGTTGTGTTATAGTTTGTTCAAACGTTGAGCAATTGACAGAGTAATGCAAAACTCTTATATTCATATTGGGATTAAAACTAACAGCTGTTGTAACTGTTTTAGTACTTTGAGACATGAGTTATATCAGGATAGATTAAAGTTTACAGTATAATATCCTTTTGCAAATATTGCTGCTTAAAAGTATTGAGTAATCGCTCATGTTTTTAACCTCTGCTTCCAAGGATTGTGATCAGTAATTCAAAGTTTCCTTTAGTGAAGTTTAATGTCCTTATTAGTGGAGACGGTAGGCTTTCTGACTGCAGAAAGCCTTTATCTTGTCTTTTGGTTTAATAACAAATTTTATTGTAAAGGACATCTTTCTTGAGGGATGAGTCATGTCTCATGAAACATTGTAAGGCAAGATCCTTAAATGCTCAAAAGGTTTAGTTTGAGGTAATTTTATTATTCTAGTCTATAAAAACCCAACATAATATTGTACTTTTTAACCAACAAAGCCACAAAAGGTCATTGCTAAAGAAGCTGTACTCAGAGTACTGTATTCCTGGAAGCTTCAGTGGAAGAATTAGTGTGTCAGAAACAGTTTCAAAACAAACAGTTTCACCCTCGGGCCTACTCAACAGTTTTGGGGAGGTCCATAAGATGTGGAGTTTAACTGGAGTCAGAGCTTGAAGACCGACCACAAACTGATGGATCCAGAACATGAGCTGCAACTTTCTCATTTCTTGTGTTAAACCACTTCTAAACCAGACACAAGGTAAGAAGTGCTTTACATGAGCTAATGAGGAAAATAACTGGACGGTTAAATGAAAGTCAGTGTTACTTGTCATTTAAAAAGAGATCCCACAGACTGAAGGAACAGCGGAGAGAAACAGAATTCCAAGTGTTTTGTGGTTGAGCGGGACATTTCCACAGTCTGTGATGATTTGGGGGATCCGTGTCATTTGGTGGAGTTTTTCTCTTAATCACAATTAACAGAATTTGCATTTTCTTGAAATGACAGCAATGCTGAACTGACATGACTCTTTTGGAGACAATGGTAAACGCTCTTCATTCGCATAAGCCCTTAAGCCTTGTTGATTGTGCTTTCAAAATCAGACTAATAGAGGTATTCCACAGCCTCTTTGCTGCATTTAGTCATTGTTCAGCGTGTGGTTTCAGTTGTAATTAATTAAGACATTATGTTTGCTTTGTTCGAGAGCAAGAGAGCTGTGACTCTTCTCTCAAGTTTAGGAGTCAGCCATTAATCCAAGGGTAGGGGTTGAGTCATCCTTGCCTCCAAGCACTCTAAATTCCTGCTGCTGTTGACAGAACTCTGCAACATTCACAGTGCACTGGAACTTTGTTAAACAAAGATTATTGTTCAATCTTTGTTTGGCAAAGATTGAACAAAACAAGTCAGTTTTTTATTTATATAGTGCCAAATTATATTGATGTCAAAAGATCTTCAATATTTAATTTCACTCATCGAATGCCATTATAGCCTTTTGATATTATTTTAACAGTTTGTTAAAGGGAAGTGTTACCAATATACTATATCTACTCCTACTTTATAAACTGTGAAGATTTCTGTATTGAGCTTACTATATTTTTAGATAGGTCTTTCAAATATTTCACATTATTTTGCAGTGTCGTCTTGGCTTTTTGAGTCACCAGTCAGTGCAAAACACATTTAGATGCTCTCACATTTGGCCCAGTCCAAGTATCTGCCTGCAGGTGCCAAACACTGTTGTCACACACTGGGTGTTCCCTTAAATTTAACAATCTCCGCTCACCAAAATGAACACCTGGGAAATACTTTGCGAATAAATACCCGCGAGTAAACACCCGCAGAGCATGTCAGTGCGCGCACCGCCATATGTTTTTATGCTTTTCAGAATACCTTTTACTCAGACACATGTATATTAGATTTGAATTATGGCTTTCAGCATCTGGTTTCAAAACGTGTGACCAAGCAACAATATTCTAAGCTGCTGTAGTTGCACAAAAGCTGGCAAATTTTACAAAAGACTGTTAGATGGAGGAGAATGTGGATGGTAGAGATGGACCATCAAAAACAATATCCATCCATTATTCATCCATCTGTTCATCCACTGACCAATTTATGCATCCACCCATCAGTCCATTCCTTCCTCCGGCCATGTTGAGAATTTGTTTGGGTTCAACCAGGATTTGCTTAGGACTTATTTGGGATATTATAATTTAATAAATAACTATTTGAGTTGCAGTTATTTCATGAATCTAGTAAGCATTTGATAGATAGCATCTGGTTCAAAACGCACTATTTGTGGATGTTTAACAGAATGGACTCTGTGTCCTATGATGCTTTAGAACTAGTAGAAGAAGAACTTAAAGGTTGATTAGGAAGAAGAAATTTTGGAGAGTTTTTTTCAGAAATAGCTATGTTAGCTGAGTTCCTACACTCTGTCGTACATCATTCACTAAAGTTCATCGGAATAATCCACCCAACTCCTTTTTGTCTTTGAATTAGTCTAATATACAACAGGCCATCCACCTTTCCATGAATATTTAGTCATCCATCCATGTTTGTTCTTTTCACTAGTCAATTATAAAACATCCACTCATTACTCCATAGCTATCAACATATTTATATCTGTTTTATCTTTATTGCATAAATATCAATCCATCTGACCCACCCAGGTGTCTCTTGCCGTCACAACATGCAGAACTCGCCACAGGCATCACCTGCAGCCAGAAACAGAAAATATTTCATTAGGAGTGTAATTGTCCGGAGTGCAAGTCCTATAACAAGTCTGCATAGAAATGGGAAAAATAAATGCTTTTTTTAAACTTTAAATTAAAATCTGTTTTCCACGGAAGAGGATAAGGGCCACTGGAAAAAAAAAATAAAACGGTTCTGACTTTAATCTCAGAATTCTGACTTTAATCTTAGAAGTCAGAAAAAATGTTTTTTCTTTTTTTTTTTTTTCGGTGGCCCTAATCCTTTTCCGTAATTTTCAGTGAAAAAAAAAGATTTTTTTTTTTTTTTCCTCAGACTGATTAAAAGTAACTGGGGTGGAGCTAAAAAAGTCCAGAACCAAAGATTGGACAATTTTGATCTATTCACATACACATCTCTGTCTATCTTTCTCAAAGAGATATCAATTCAATTTTACTTGTATGTTCTTTTGTTTAACGTGCATTTTTATAAAAATGCCAATCCTGCTTTGTGGCATATCGATTTAATGTCAATAATGTCGTCTTCTGGCATCACAACGTTATGCCAACAACCAATCGATGGTTTTTAAGGCACCGTTATCTCCTGCCTCATTTAATGTGAAAAATAAAACAAATTAAGCAAAAACTGTGAACAAGTATCATGTCTGCTTTTGATATTTGCCAAAGCCATGCTGTTGTTTTGTGATAAGTCCCAGACTTTGTTTTGATTTTTACAAAAGTCTAAATCAATACAGCATGCTTTGAAAAATTCCCAGCAGTTACATGGATATGTGGCCTCAGTGGTGAACGGCCATAATAAACATACAAAGGCTGGTTGGTTCTTTCAGGAACAACACTCCCCTCACTTTCATTATGTAATGACTGAGAAGATCAAGAGGAGAAGTACAGGAAATCAAGAGTATGCGAACGAGTGAAGATGGATTTGACTCCTGAAACCTGGAGGATGGTGTGGTTTTCTTTGCCTCTCGCTTTATAAATGCCACATTTTAACTAGAGCCACACTGTCTCCGAATGGGGAAGAAATGTGTGAACGAGCAAAATGCACAGTGGGGTGTCTTGTGTGTGTGTGGCACCTCAGTCAATATAAACCTGTTTGACTGGCAGCTGTCTCATGGCACCAGCTTTGTCAATCCACATCAGTTGTAGCTGACATTGTATAATACGCAGACGTTTTCCGTCTGTGATGTTTATGTCAGTAAAATGGCCGTTTCTGGTGTTCTGTAAGCAACTCCTGTCTGAATGAAGAGAGAACCTCATGAATAAAACAAAATAAAACATCATCCAGGTCACACCGTGGAGGTCCAGATGTAGTACAGTACAATACAGAAACTGGCAAGAGCAAAAGCCTTATATTATTTGCTCTTTGTTTTAATAACAGAATGAAGATAGAAACAAAAATGTCTAATGAAACTTTGGAATTTGTCATTTTGAGTAAAAATAGAATTATTTCACCAGGTATTTTATTATTTTTAAGTAGCAATCCCTTCCTATTATTATTTTTACTTATGCCTAATGTTTTACCTTGTCATTATTTTCAAATATTTTAATTGTGCAATATTGTCAGTTTTATATAATGCTTCCTAAATTAGCCATGTCCCCCTTGGAAAAGTTTTTTTAGTCTTAATGAGACATTGACTGGTTAGATAAATGACAATAATGGCATATTTAATTAACTTTAAATTATTCCATTTGTTTATGTACAGTTGTCTTTTAAATAGGAAGTGCATAACTTATAATTTCAGTTATTTCATTATTTTTCGTCACTTTTGTCACTCAGTAAGCACATGAAGATAAAATGGGGATAAACAAATGCCTCCTTAAACGGTGCATTTTAACTTAAATGTATTCATTTCAAAGTTCTGTTTTTGTGTGTGTGTGTGTGTTGACAAACCTCATAAAGCTGAAAAATTACCTCTTGGAAATAACTTTGTTGCTTTTTGTTTTTCTTGTTTAACCCTTAGACATCCCAGGATGCGCATCAAAACAGGCCTGGTGGATGCTCACCTCTACTGTCTGAAAAAAGCAGTTGTTGACTTTCTCACGGAAAATAAGTGAGTATTGTACTTGTGACAATTTTTAAAGATGAAGAGAAACGTTCTCACCCTGTGTTCCCCATGCAGAGGTCATTTACTGACATGCATGTAGGTGCATGCATATACTCACACAGTCACATCAGCTTGAACCCTCAATCACTTCCTAATCTGTTTCAACTGTTAAACGCGGTTACATGGCGTGGAAGGCTTTGAAAGCATCTGTGAGTGGGGTATTCTAGCTAGGTGTTAATTTGTTTTACTATGTGCCACTGAGACAGGCTGTTAGGCCTTTAGCCTCCGGAGTAAAGCAGTGTGACACCTGCCTTCTGTTGCAGCCTGTAGTTTATATTCACCAGATGGAGGATCTACCCGATATCAACATGTCGTAAATTTAGATGGTTTGTGGAAAATGATGAAGCTCACTTGGTTTACGAAGAAAAACGTGCCGTGTATTAAAGTGATGCGTGGATAAAACCCAATAATTGTGGTCCTGCTTTTGTGTCTTACAACTCTCACAGTGCAGGTCAAATGTTTACATACAATGTTTACATACAACCATCAGATTAAAGAATCACATGTTAATGTTTGGCTTTTAATGACACATTTATAATAAAATGTATAAAGGTAGAATGAAGATTGTGTATTTAACTTCATTGAGTTGAAAACAAGAATTATGTGCATAATTTAGAATTTATCGTGGATTTTCTCTAATCCAATATAATCTCTAATCTGTTGGCTTTTCCAGCGTCTTAATGTCACTGTTTTATTCATTCAAAAGTCTGTTGTTTTCTGGATTTAGTGTCATGTTGGCAAATTAAATTCAGTCAGAGTTCCTAGACTCTAGCTGTTGTTTTAAGGTGAAATCGCAACATTTGAAATGACTTAATGTTACTCAGACAGTGAAATATACACACAGGATGAGTCACCATGCTTTACTTTTGTTTTGTTTGAATGTCATGATCACTGCTTTATTAGCAAATAAGAGATAATTTAGACATTTGTTAATAAAACTGTTATAAAAAGCAACAGACCTGCTTAATTATGCCATGGATAGATTCAATATGTCCAAACTTGTACTTTTAAGAGCTTTGTGCTGCCTAAAATATTAAAGAACGGTACTGATTACTTCTTACTGGCATATTGTCTGCATATATTTCTGCAAACTTCTACATGAAAAGTGTAAAACTCCTTTAATTGAAATCTGATATTGTCAAGTTAGTTTTTCCCCCATTTTAAAATATTTTCTGGTCAGTAACTTCAAACAAATCCCATTTCACCATTGCTCATCTTGATAATATTTTGAATTCAAGAGATGTATCAATCATTGCATCACCAATGCCCCCTCGCCCACTACCATATTTATTCTCTCTTGTTAGATGACTCATTCCTTTCTCCGGCTTCTTTCTTGGACTCTCTTTTCAGCCGCTTCTCTCGGACTCTCCTCCTTCCTCCTCCGTGTTCTCTGTCCCTTGCTCGAGGACAGAAATAGACAAAGTAACTGTTGTTTTCCTCCTGTCATTCAAATGGAAATTCTAATCTCCCTTTAAAAGAAAGAAGGTGGAGGGGGCCTGGGGATTGTGAGTTGGTGGAGAGGAACACTAAAGCAAAGTCCAGAGATGAGCAAACAGATGAAAATGATCTGAAGTGAGAAATGTTTAAAAAAAAAAAAAGAAAAAAAAAGCGTTTTATGCTTGATTTTGGTTTAAAAGTAATAACAGGAATTTATAAGGCTTGTTGTTTCACACAGAGATTGCTATTAAATAATAAAGAGCTACACACACTGTTATTGTGGCTTCATTTAATACTGGGTTCAGAGTTTTTACTATATAAAATAGTCCTGTAATACTTTCCCTGTGCCTGCTTTGGCTCACAGTGGTTGCCAATTTTTCATAGGATATGAATATGTCTCTGCTTTGTTTCATAAATTTATATATATATATTTTTTTTTTTTTTTTTCTTTCTCAGGTCCATTTCATCAATCCGAGGAGAATTGGTACCATACTTGGTGCGCAAACAATTTTCCAAAACCACTAACAGCCAGAAGGTAAAAGAAGATTTGGAGGATCAGACCCAGAAAAAGAATGACTGCTCTACAAACCATGGTTGGTGATTTCACTGGGATACCACACCACGAATCAGAATTAGATCAGAATAACATTTAACAACATCTGTGTCATAGCCGATTTAAAACAAACAAACAAAAAAAAACTCTCTTAAACAAACCAAAGGAGTTGAGTTTTATTTTTTGCCCCCTGGCTCCTCTCAGAGCTGCTCCTCTCAGAGCTGCTCATCTCATCGCGGGACGAGCCTCTGCTCCAGCTGGCCCAGGAGCGTTCCTGTTGGAATGACCACCGCGGTGACATGAGTGAGGCCTACCACGGAGGAAAGCTCCGCTGCTATGTTCACATTATGGAGCAGGGTCTGTGCTACCGTGTTAACACTCTTGCTGCTTACATAGAGGCAAACAGGCAGGTGAGTCAGAGAGTTGGCCTGCTCATCTGTTATTCACATTCCTAAAGAATTTGCTCTACTATGTGTGATACATTTTACTGACCACTGACTTGGTGGCAAATTTTCCATCTCTCTCCCATCGCTGACATTTTGACATTCCAATACCAATTTTAATCAACTGATTTTGATTTTAAGAACTTCAAGAATATATAAGAGTAGTATTTAAAAAAATTAAATACTTTGAACAGCCTTTAGTTGTTTAAATTAGGAGCTGCGGCATTATTGAGCTCTTGTGATCGAAGAGTAACCCCAACATACTACAACATTATAATTAGAGAGGTGACATTTTAAGTTGACTTTAGGATTTTCTATTAGACGTTAACACTGCTAACTAGCGTTGATAAAACATTAACCCCAGAAGATACTTTTCTTAGAAAGCAGCATTTTCCAGTAAATGGAATTATTTACTGTAGACATGCCATAGAAAATACATTTTCACTTTAAACAGCTTCTGATACAAATGCTCTTCTGCTTTTTTAACACCTTGCTGATAGTGAATTAGCAAATATTTATTCTTCTGACAGTGACAGTATCCACACTGAAGAGAGTTGCTGTTACAGTGACTTGGTAGCACTTTTGTTTTCAGTCACATTTCAGGCCAGATCAAGTTAAAAGTGTCTGATTAGAGTCACCAGTCTTTTTTTTTATTTACCATTAGATCTTATTGAACTTTGGGATTTGGTTTGTAGATGTTTTCTGCTATTTTATGTTTTGTCTCATATTGGTGTTTTTTTTCTTATAATTAGGCCCCAAAACTCTTTGAGGAGCCACCAGTTCATCCATCTGCTGTCATTTCTGAGAAATGTCAGGTAAATGTTTTACTCCTGTTTCCAAATTTTAGTTGAGTCCAATTTACGCTTCATATTTTAGTTGGTGTGCTTAAGAATAGATGAACTGTCTGGGCTCTTCCTGCAGATGGGGACAGACAGCATCATTGGGGAACGGTGCCAGATAGCAGAAAAGGCTTCCATAAAAAGATCAACTATTGGAATATCCAGCAACGTGAAAGAGAGGGTCAAAGTCACCAACTCCATTATTATGCATTCAGTCACAATAGAGGAAGGGTGAGAAAACACACACTCCTTTCCACTGGTTCTTTCATCCATCCATATAGTCCCTGTTTTTGAAGATTCCAGGTGCCAGAGCTTGATCACAGTAGAGTTGTAATGAATTTAGACAGAAAGATTGTGCAAACTCTATTCAAACATGTTTAGAATTATTTATTAGTTGTCTTAATCTAACTAGTTTTATGTGTAATTTGTCATTCATTGAACATTTTTTCACAGAGTCTGTTTTGCTACAAGTTGCGTGCAGATGCAAAAGTATGTCTAGTAATCACATTGTTTGGACATTTTTTGTGCTGTCCTTCAGGTGTCTGTGTGAGGTCCAGAACTATTCATACATATGCGTGATATGTGCAACGTATGAAATATAATTAGATTTGTTGGGCCGATTCCATTGCAACATCAGTTCTGACAGTCTGCTGCGAGGCAGCTGTAGTCAAAATGTAGCTTACCACCATCAGTGTGTATGAATGTAGTGTGAAATGCTTTGGAGTTCCCTGAAGCGCTATTTACTATTCTCATCGTGATCTCAAGAGAAAAAAATCATTTTAAAATTTTTATTTTTTTCATAACAAATCTAAAATCATATTGTGTTTCTATTTGTTCAGAGAGGCTTCGATACTATGTGTAGAAATAGAAGAATGTGCAAACATCACTTAGTTTAAGAAATGGTTTAAATATATTTCACTAATACATTACAAGATTGTAAAATGGGTTAACTTCTGCCGGAAGTCTATTTAAAAAAATTGTTTGATTGGAGCAGGGTTAGCCCCACCCACCAACTCTCTTACCTTTGCAGATAATATAAGTTCCTTTTGCTTCCTATTTTTTCCAGACATTAACTTCTTAAAAAGTATTAAATTTATTATGTAAATTCAATGGACTCCAAAGCAAGACTAATGCTCCATGACAAGCAACATTTTTAAACCTCAAAAAGTCATCTAAGCTTTGGAAATTATAAAAAGGAAGTGCTGCTGTACAGAGAGCAACAGTAGCTACAGTAGAATTAGCATGTGGATTGATCTGTTCGGTCTCTTAGCCAGGATTTTTTTTGGAAGAAGAACTCAACTTGGCCTCTATTACAGATTTTAATGCACTCATTCACAAGGTCTTTTCCTTTCTATCTCACTCCTCATCGCGGCCCCAACGCCATCTCCCTTCGCTTTCTGTCTCCAACCATCCCTCCTTAAGCTCTTTCAGGGAGCCCGGCCAGCCAGCGCGGGGACCCTCATCACGCCCGTGTAGGTGCACGCACAAGGCCATAAAAGAATGAGAGACAGGAGAAGAGAAGAAAGGAGCGAAGGGGAAAGCAAGCTACCACGCAAGAAAGAAAATTGCAATTCTTTCTTTTATTGCTTTGAGGACATAAGAAGGACGGAGAAAGAGCCAGTATGAGGGGATTAGCAGACCCCAGCCATGTCGCTGAAACCCCTTGCATTTCTGATTTCTTTGTTTGGAGCTGACCAGAGCTTGTTGACAAAGCACTGCGTGTTTGGCAGGGGGGGGGGATAGTAGGGGTCAACTTTATAGGATGGGAGCACTGGAGGTGGGGGTTGATGTGTGTACGTGTTTGTGTGTATGTGTGTGTGTGTGTTTGTGTAATAGGGAGGGAGGATATGGGGGTCATGACAAGGAGGAGCCCTGGTGTTAGTAATTAGTGGTGTTTCAGCTCCAAAGCTTCTTTGGTGGTCTCCCCTTCTCTGTAATGTTACAAAACTCTGAATGTTGTAATCTCCCATCACCAACTACCACTGCTACCTCCTAGGTAGTGCCTTATGCGCACACACACCAACACACGCACTCGCACGCACACACACACACAAGCATTTCTCCTGTTCTCATCCTGGTCTAACCACCTGAATAAAATGGGCCAATACAAACCTGTCTGTGTGTGAGGTACGGGCAGCCAAGTGTGTGTGCGTCACTGCCCGGGCGAGACCCACGTGTGTTCTCCACTTGGCTCTCATGGCCTCTGAAACATACACACACACACATTCTGTATCTCACACGCTTGCACATACACGCCCTTTATGGTTAGCCGGGCGCTGGACACAGGCACCGTCTGTGTGTCGCTCCAAGAATTTTATGGCGATGGTTTGGCTGAATGAGAGCACGCACGGCGGGTTGGCACGGCCAGCTCAGGTGGAACTGCTGCACAAGATCTTTAATACGGGCAAACACACTCGCTCTCACACAGCATACGCCGGTGTTGTCACAGCAGCCGACATTAATGCTAATGTCATGCCATTAAGCCCAATAGATTGGGTTTTTCAGAGTTTTCATAGCAGGTGTGGAGATGCTTGACGACAAGGAAAAACTCTTGAGGTCTGTCCGCGCGATTCACCCTGCAGCTGTGGGAGGAAAGCTGTGAATAAAGATTCTCCGATGTTTGCAGAAAACATGCAGCCGAGTTGAAAACTATTTCAGCGCTAATAGGACTTTGACTCACTTCTTGCAGGTGCTACGTAAGCAAAATTTGAAAGTGGATTTAGCTTTATAACTCTCAAGTTACTTCTTGCAGGGTTCCTATTCAATCTTGAAAAGTCTGGAAAAGTATGAAATTTGATTTTCATCACTTCCCACATCTGTGTAAGGATGGAGGGGAAAAAAAATGGAGTATGGAAAATCACTTGATTTTTTAAACTGCTTTCACCATTATGTGATCTGAAAGATAAATCTGAATCACTTAAAGGCTTTTATATGCAAATGTTCTTCATCTTTGCTTTGTCATGTCATGCCTCAAACTTTCATCTTTGACCATTTTTGTTGTAAGTGACTGACAGTTGTGACATATTTGGATAACAAAAACTGAACAGGAGAAATATTTCAAACCAAGCAACTTAGAAATTTAAGCCCGGAAAAGTAGGAATTTCTGGCGGAAATATCTGAAACAGGAGGAATTCTTTAAATCTTTAAAGATGTTTTTCGCCACACTTCGTGACAATGTATTACACAGTATACTAGTTCGGCTGTGACCAATCGCAACCAAATGTCTTTATCTTTTTTTTTTTTTCTTTTTCCACCCAATCATTTAAACATCTGTTTCCACTTCTATACCTTCCTACCTGGAGCAGTTCTGATCTGTTGATGTCCGCTGTCCCCTGTGCCTAGAGGAGCACCTCTAAACACTGAAATTTATTCATGTACGAATCCAGCAGCCGTCCAATTAATAAAATTTCTGTGTTTGATTTCCAGATGCAATATCCAAGGCAGCGTAATCTGCAGTAATGCAATCATTGGCAGAGGAGCCGACCTCAAATATTGTTTGGTTGGAAATGGACAACGAATTGAGCCAGAAGGTGAGACGCAACAACATGAACACACCCAAAGTTAAAAAAACAGGCTCTGAATAGGTTCTTTCTTATTCCACGTCTTACTTACTTACCCTGTTGTTTTAGGCTTGTTTTCAAATTCTTTATTTAGCAGCATATTATTACGCCCTGTATCAAAAGGCACTTTTGTGACAAGTAATAGTGATGAAGCAGTTTCCACTGGATGCTCTTCACTGACTGTGATATATTGAATTAGAACAAGCCAACATTTTCGTTGTGGAACATCAGGAGCTCCTCATAACATTTTGGCAAAATAAGTAGTATTTTTTTTTATTTATTTGTTTTGTAACATGTCTTTCACAGCAAAAAAAAAAAAAAAAAGATTACTTTTCCACTTTGTTGTTGCAATTGTCATGAGATCCAAGAGAGGGTGGAAATTAGAGATGTGCCCATCTGGCTGATCAGTTAATTGTGAAAAATCTAAATTAAAATGTATTTGTCCTTCCAATATACTCTTTTCCTAAATATTGCCCGTTTGCTTGCACTCTGTGCGTCCCTCTGACTGACTTAGATAAGGTGTTAATGTATGTGTGTGGCATCCATTTATAGGTGCCAAGTATTAGAGCCAGCAAGGAAAGTCTTCTTTCTTAAAGTCCAATTTGTCAAAGATTTTTTTATTTTTTTTTTATTTCCTTAATCCCCTTGTCCCCAGAGTTAGCGCTGTGTGTGTGTGTTTGTGTTTCTCTGTATGTGCTTGTGTGTGTGTGCGTTACATTGATGGAGAGGTTAGAGAGCACGGCCAGAACAGGACCACCCGGAATTCAACAGCAGCAGCCTGCAGCCACACACACACACGCACACACACACACACACACACACACACACACTTTTAACTCGTGAACACGTTAGAAAGAGTGAACAAGCTACAGGCTACCAGACTAAGAAGCCTAATTGAGTGAACAACAGGGTGCTCTGAGCAGCAACAGTTTGAATTTGAGCTAAAATCTCCCTGAAATGAAACAGTTGAGACTCTGAAACAAACAGCGCAATTGTTCTGCAGCAAAGTTTATCTCACTTCAGCTTTTTTCTTCTGTTGTTTTTATTTTTGTGTAAATGGTTTTGATAAGATTTACTCCAAAAGTTCAGTCACGGAAAAATCTATATTTTTCTTATAAAAATGCCTTTTGACCTAGTTTTTTTTTTTTTTCAAAAACTCATCCACTGGTTATAATTTTGCTAGTATAGTCTTTCTTTTATTAAAGATTAATAGTTTATGGTGCTTTTTTTATGTTGTTTTATGTTGAATATAAGCCTTCATAAGAAAGTGAAATTTATTCCAATAACTCAGGAACTGCAGGCGTTTTGTCAGCGTACAAACATGATTTATGAAATTAGGGATTTATTTAAATCTGTTGGTGCCTGTTTTAGTCGTCTTTGGTATCAGTTTCTAAAGATTCAGTCTTCCATTAGATTACTTTATATAAAAGTTAAAACAGCACATAAAGCTTTCGTCTCCTTTTCTCTGTATTGTTGTAATGTTTGAATAAAAGATAGGTCCTTGTTGCCAATCTAGCTGTCTGACCGCAGGCTGTTAAAGACATTATACACCCACCCTACTGCTGAAGCTGTTAGCAGCCAAAGACCACCATGACAGCCTGACACAGACACACATATATGTTGCGTTCACAATCGCTTATCGCCTGTTGATTTTTCTTTCTTCTTTTTATTTGTTATTTTTCTTCAAAGCTGAATACCTCATCTCTTTGTGCTTTGATGCACATTTTCACCAAACCATAAAGAAGGCAAAGTCCCTTTCATGTCTTTTTATCCTCAGTTTAAATGGCACAAATCTGTTGAAGATAAAGTCCCAACCATCAATATTCGGGTAGATCTGAAACAACCTAGCGTCTTCTCCACTTCCCATGCCTCCTACAGCTGGAGAAATATGTAAACACAAACTATATTGGTCATTGGAGACTTCTCTGGCTCAAACAGCATATACTTTTCCTCTTTTACACTCCAGTCGCTCCCCACCTTTCCTTCCCTTCCTTCTCCTGCAGTCCCATGCTCCATTTGTCCTCTCCTTTCACACAACAGTGGCTAAGCTCATTCTGAGCAAAAGATTCCTTCACACTAAAACCTGTCTGTGTGGATGGAACATTGCTCCCTGCCACCATTTGTTTTGGATCAGCACCGGTACTTGGTGGTGGAGGGGGCTGGAGGTAGGAGGGCACGGACCCAAGGAGGAATTGTGACTGCGCTCCAAGTGTTGGAGAAGTTGAAGGTTAAAAGAGATCATCACACATTTATAGTGCAGCAGTTAAAGTTAAGATATTGGGGCTGAATAAAAGTTGCAGGATCTCACACAGTGGACTTTCTAGTTCTAATCCATTGCAAAGATTTCTCTTGATTTCACAGATGTGTCAAAATGAATACATTCAAGTATTTACTGTGTTTGTTAGCACAGTAAATAATGTGCTACAAACACAGCCTTGCAAGTAAAAATCATCATATTTGGAAATTTTTGGCATATATATATATATATATAAGATGTATGAGAGATCCGTATTTTACCTCATGTAATAATGTAATAAGCTATGCTGAAAAATAATTGGTCTACATTATTTCTTGATTTAGATATAAGAATGTGCTATGCATTATTGATATTGTCAACAAAATACAGTTAATAACTCCAGATAAATCTCTATAAACGTCATAATATATACTTATTTTTACCTTTCACCTGTAACTTTCTTTTCAGTTGAACGGACAAATGAAGTCATTGTTGGAACAGACCAACTGATGGAGATCTAGCTGCGTCGCAGAATAGCCGAAACCTCACCTGTTCACCTGAGAGCGGCAAACCTGATAGAGTGACTGTCCAATCAGAAGCTTGGAAGTTGCTGGACAGTCTGGGGATGTTTTCCTTTTTTTTTTTTTTTTTTTTTTTTTTTTTACAATAAGTTTGAATAAAGACAAGTTGTCTTGATTGCATGGATTTGTGTGTTGTTGTTTTATTGTTTTTTTCTCTCTCTTAACGGTGGATCTTGGCCATCCTGTCTGCACTCCTGGCCTTCATCAGATCATTTCTTTCTCCCCATAGCAGCTCTCAATTCCTCAGTTTACAGTGTTCCAGAGGGAGGAGCGTGTGCGCACACACACACATCATCGTGTCTGTGCGTTAAGGTGTTTACACACGCACGCTGTGCAGCTGTGAGCACCAGAGATGGGGAGAAAAAGGCAGTGGGAGGGGTGACCACAATGGTGTGTGTGTGTGGGTGGGGGTTAAGTTTATTTGTACACAAAAATGGTGTATGTGTCGGGCCTGGACCACCCAGCTCGATCGCGTATCAGTTGACACCGATGCCCCACCCTGACACACACTCGCTGGCCCGGCGCAGGAGGAAACTGACTCACGGCTGATGCTTTTCTTTTTTTCTTTTCCTTCTTATTCTTGTCTTCCCCATCTGAAACTCTGTCTGTCGACAGATTTATTGCATTCCATTGGTGGAGTTTTTTTTTTTTTCTAAATTACAGATTATAAGTTTCTTAGTCTTGTAGGAAGGAGATGAGAACAGGGATGTCAGTGTGTCTGATTTACTCTCTATTTCCTATTGTGTCTGGGGCCTCGCTTTGTCTCTCTTCATGCCTGGAAGTAAGATGTATGAGAGATCCGCATTCGACCTCATGTAAAATAATGTAATAAGCTATGCTGAAAAATAATTGGTCTACATTATTTCTTGATTTAGATATAAGAATGTGCTATGCATTATTGAGATTGTCAACAAAATACAGTTAATAACTAAAATATAATTAAACTTCTCTCTTGTTTTGAGAAGATTAAACAAACATATTTCAGTGGTTAATGATAAAAGGGCAAATATTTGGCTTAGTGTTGCAAGGAGTGTTTAACAAAGCATAATTTTTATAGATTTATTTAAACTGTTATATTTCGAAGCTACAAAATTCAGCACAATAAAATCAGGCTCTCCTTCACCTGCATATTGATGCAACTTTGACAGGTGTGGATCAGTTTGCCTCTGCTGTGGCGTGATGTTTGTCTCATCCTAAGGAACCCATAATCACATTCAACTTTTCACAAAAAATAAAAACATCTAAGATTAGTCTTTTTTTTTTTTTTTTCATTACTATAAAAACTAATTGGCAATTCAAAACATCCCAGTTCAGTATGTGGGCTGTGCTCATAAAAAAAAAAAAAAAAAAACTTGTTGCCAATGCCAAACATCTTTTGGTGGATGTAGTCTGATGCTGTGGGGCAGCTTCGCTCACCCTGGAAAAAAAGGTTCATCATCACATATGGAGACGGTCTAATTTCAGAAAGAGACTCGGACCGTCATATTACTGCTCACTAAGCAACCAAGCTCTTTCTGCTGATCCAACTTGTCCCCACAGAGTGGGATTTATTGGAAACTACCTTCTGAATTTCAGGGTGAAGAGAATGGAATAGACAGTCTGCACTCAACATTAGTGTAGGACTAGGTGGGGTGTGCTGATTGAACTTGACCATCACAACCACATTTACTCTCAACAAATTCATTAAGGAGAAGGGTGGTGTCCCACATCAGTGTGTGACCAGACTTTATGAATGTTTTCAGTTCTTCCTTTCACTACCTCTTTGTTTAAGTAAGGAAGCTTTCAAATTGCTAATATGTCTTGTTTCCTCAATTTTTACTTTTCCAACCCAGTAAACAAAACCCAAATAAGAATCAATAGAAGAATAAAGCTCTGTCTTGCTTTGGCAGAGAGTTCCAGCTCTGTTGTTCAGCCTAAAAGTATCAATGTCACATTTAGTCATATAGCACGAAACTGAAATTGAATGACACTCTGAAAAATAAGTTTTGGATGAAAGGAGAATTAAGAGTTTATTTAGCAGTGTAAAATTTAATCAAATTATTGCATTTAAGTTTATATTTCTAATGACTCGTAAAGATGATCAAATAAATGCCCCAAACTCATATTTAATTCCACTGATTGTGATTCAGAACCAGTTGACTTTCATCAAATATGAGAGACTGTGACCTGAGTGACCTTGTGCTGGTAGAAATTATGTTCTTGAGTCACAAAACCATGTTTCATTGCACTGGCAAACAGTTGATTTTAGAAAAGTGTTTTAATCTCTGAATGTACAGATTCACATGACTAATTTTCATACCCTAAAAATAGTTTGGAGCGAAAGACAAAAAACATCAGAAGTACAACATGGTGTCAGAGCGAAACAACCAGTGCCTAACTTTGACAGAAAACCGAGCTTAATGTGGTTTTAGGTCTTACCACAGATTTATGTCCATGCTGTATAAGTGACTAAAGTCCCATAAATAAAACACTTAGAGTTCAGTTCCTTTGGAAGACCACTCTGTAATTTCAGATTTTATGCATTCATTGATGATCAAAAATTTCTTTTAGTCATTTTCTTTTTCAGGGAAACTTTTTTTTTTTTTTACGGCTAGAGTATTCGCTTTTTTTAACTTCACAGCTGTGCCACCAACTTTGCGTTGCCACCAATTCCCCTGCCTGTTTTTTGTTTTTCAGAACCGACATTGAAGTTACCACTGCTTCTCATCTCCAAGAAAAACCAAACGTGTGAGCGAAAGAAAACATTTCCTACCTGAGCTTTAAATTCACAAAAACAACGATCAGGATTCACTTTATCTCAGCTGGATTGACTTTTTCTTTTCACGCAATGAACCTCTCTGACCTCTCTTTTTACCACATGATGAGAACTTCACAGTTGGGTGTGTTTGGGTAGAAATTTGTATATTTGTACAAAAACCACAGAGTCTCTTCTGTTCAACGCCATCAGGGCTGAACCTGTTTCTGCGATCGCTTTTAATCTGCAGCTTGGCAGACACCTGTGAGATGATAAAACCATGCTGATGCATGGAGGCAAATACAAATCTCCATTTTATTCTAGATCCACTTATAAAACCTCAAAATAGATCAGGTTCTTTTGCTTTGTTGAATTTGGACATTTTTTAAATAATTATCAATTATTTAAAAAATTATATATATATATATATATATATATATATATCTTTCGGTGGATATATATATATATATATATATATCCACCGAAAGATATATATATATATATATATATATATATATATAACTTTATTCCAGTTTAAAAAGAAGCAGGCATAATAAATAAACAAATATAAAATACACTGTAGATATTACAGGTACAGATAGAGCTTTTCAGGGTGATAAGTCATCGACTCAAACAAGAAGGAATTAAATCAGATAAACTGCAAAGGAGTTACTTTGAAAAATACAAGTCACCCGTCAAAACACATTACTGTAAATTCTGTTTGGTAAAATTTGCTCCCAGAAAAAATGCAGACAGGAACATCGAGCTGGTTGGTTTGTAGTTTTAAAAGAACAGTTTGTACGAGGCTGCAAAAATATATTGCATCTTGTTAAAGGGCTTTTGAGATTCAGCTTTAATAATAATTATAATAATGAAGATAATTTATGAGTGCATTTTCTAACACAACACAAAAAAAAAAACATAGGTCAACAAAAATGTGCATCATGGACTTTTTACGATACAACTGTGTCCTGAAAGACACAGAGAAGAACAGAATAGAGTTGTGTATATATATTTTTGATCAAGAGGCAGTAAAAAAAATGGATGCAAAGTATGAGCTTTTATGGTGTTATTTTTCTCTTGGCAGTGATTGATTTTAAACTCTGCCATCTGAATATAAAAACTGAAATATTCTGAACAAACGTTCCTTCACTGACGAAGCAAAAGAGCTAGACATTAGGAAGTTGTTAAAGCGACTCCTCATGTCCTGGTCTCTGTCGTTTCATATGGCCATGCATGAAATCCAGTCTGCGTGATTTCCTGTAAGTGTGGAAATACAGAATAAAGAAGCTCAGTGCACGATGGAGACGGTGCCCCGATGAAAGGAGACAAATGTGTGACACACAGACATCCACACAGACGCGCAGAGGTAGGGTGGAGTTTGAGTTCTGCTACGAGGTTAGGGGGGGTTATTGCCTGAGTATATGGGTGGCTTCATTGCTTGAGGCTTGATTGTGGGTGAGCAAGAGACACGCTCACACAGAGCGAGCGATCAGGCCACCCAAGTGGTAGTCAGTCAGAAACCTGCGTGTGTTTGCTGCTGACCCCTACACATTAGCACAACACTTCCTCAATTTGTCTTCTGTGTTCTTGGACCACAAATGAATTTCCTCCCTCGTTTTTTTTTTTTTTTTTTTTTCCACACATTACCTTTCAAGATGCTTACATCCTCCTTCACTGGCATCTCCACCAGACCCACCCCATCTCCAACCTAAACTTTTGAATGCATACACACACACACAGAGAGAGAGACGCTCTTTTGACAAACTTCACTTGTTTATGTTACTTGGCCAACAAAGAGAATGCATGAAGATAAAAAGCTCATTGAAATGCCACAGAAACCCTCACAAGCGTTCCCTAAGCCAGATATTGCTGCCTGTCGCTGCAGAGCCCCCGGTTTGCTAATTAAGTCAGCTCTGAGCCTCTGTTTGATTGGAATCAAGCCTTTTGAAGTGAAATTGCAGTAAGTCGCAAAAGATTGACCCGCTTGACACCCACAAGGTTCTTATTTCTTTCTAATCTGATTAGCACAAGTGTTGAGGCAGAACTCTGAAGGCACCGGTTGTTTTAAATCATCTGAAATAAGCCCCCCTTTTTTTTGTCTTCAACATCTTATTCAATCATTCCCTCTATTTATAATCTCACATCAGTTACAGTTCTTTAAAATACCCATATTATGTTTTAATTCAAACAGGTCTAAAATGCTAAGCAAAATTCAGATTATCAAAGGCAGATAGATGGACAAATGTGTAGACAGATAGATTTGAAGCTCTGTGCTTTCTTTTAAAATCCACAGGTCCAAAGTTTGCATTACCACCTGCCAGTTGCGTCTGACAATACCTCGGTTACAACCGTCCCAA